GTAGACAGTTGATGCTGGTGTGTTTGCTGCTGTTGAAGGCGCTTTGGCGTACTCTTCTCTCCCTCGTTGTGCTGTTGCTGCTGTTGCTGCTGCTGTCGTTGCTGCTGCTGCTGCTGCTGCTGTTGCTGCCGTTGCTGCTGCTGTTGCTGTTGCTGGGGTACACCAGCATAGCTAGGGAAGGCTACAGTGCTTCGACACCTCCATGAGCTAAGCTGCAGCAGCAGCCGCTGCTGCTGCTGCTGCTGCTGCTGCTGCAGGGGCCGCTGGAGCCGCAGCAGCAGCATGTTGCTGCTGCTCGTGCTGCTGTATCTCCTGCTGCGGCTATCTGCTGCAGTTGTTTTGCCGCATAAACAAAAAATATAATAAAATATAATTATAATTAATAAACAATAAAAATAAATAATTATATAAAAATTAAATACACAAAAAAAATTAATAACATAGCCACAGGGGGCCCCCTTGGTTGGGGGGCCCCCCGCATAGGGGGGCCCCCGGGGGGCCCCCAGCTCATCTTTTTGGGGGCCCCCTAGGGGCCCCTCATTGATATATTTATGCATCTTTTTGCTGTTTCTTCTCTTGTGTTTTATTCTATTTCTTCTTCCCGCGCTGTAAACCCTAAACCCTAAACCCTAAACCCTGAGACCGCATTGAAACGCTAAACCCTAACTCAACCTACACAGCAAAACAACCGCAGCAACAGCAGCAGCAGCAGCAGCAGCTGCAGCAGCAGCAGCAGCAGCAGCAGCAGCCGCGGCCTGCTGCTTCCTCCCCTTCAAAGGCACAGAGGAAGAAACCCGACGGCTGGCGCATGCAAGAAGATACAGAGGTCATGGGGGCCCCCCTAGGGGGCCCCCTAGGGGGCCCCCTGGGGGGCCCCCTGGGGGGCCCCCAGGGGGGCCCCCTTAACCAGGGGGGGGCCCCCAGTGTACCCATGGGGGGCCCCTGTGAGCTGGCTGTCCGTTCTTTTGTTGAATCCTTGTGGCCGCGGTGGGTTGAACCCCACAGTTTGCTGCTGCAGCAGCGCGGAGCAGCAGCAGCAGAACAGCAGCAGCAGCAGCAGCAGCAGCAGCAGCAGCAGCAACAGGACTGTTTGAGAGTTGTTGCTGCGAAGCGGTTGCTGCTGAAGACGTGCGGCACTGTCTGCTGCTGCTGTGGCTGCATCACTAACAGCGAGCAGCAGCAGCAGAAACAGCAGCAGCAGCAGCAGCAGCAGCAGCAAGAAGATGAAGCGGTTGCAGAGGATCTGCTGCTGCTGCCTGTCTCCTCAGGAGACACCCCACCCCTTTCTGAGGTTGTTGCTTTGCTGCAGCAGCAGCAGCAGCAGCAGCAGCAGCAGCAGCAACAGCAGGTGCAGCCTCAAGTGCAGCAGCAGCAGCAGCAACAGCAGCAGCAACAACTGCAGCAGCAGCAGCAGCAGCAAGAGATGCTCTTTGATTTGCCCGCAGGTATGGAAAGAGCCAAAATTTGCCTTGCTATTGTGCAGCAGCAGCAGCAGCAGCAGCAGCAACAGCAGCAGCAGCAGCAGCAGCAGCAACAGCAGCAGCAGCAGCAACAGGACACAGCAGGTGCTGAGCATCAGTCTGTGTTGCTGCTGCAGTGCTCGACCCCCAACTGGGATGCCTTCAAAGCTACTATACCCTGGCGCAGCTACAAAACCCTAAACCCTAAACCCTAAACCCTAAACCCTAAACCCTAAACCCTAAACCCTATATATTGCCCCCTTAATTCCCTCACGCAGCTACAAAACCCTAAACCCTAAACCCTCAATCCCAAACAAATAGGGTTATCGAGACAGCAGCCTTGCTGCTGCAGCAGCACTTGCTGCAGCATCTGCTGCAGCAGCAGCAGCAGCAGCAGATGTTGCTGCTGCTGCTGCTGCTGCTGCTGCTGCCCCCTGTCGGAAGCAGGTAAAAGGGATTTGCATTTAACCGGTTGCTGCTGCTTTTCAGAAGCTCGCC